TGTTCTGCTCCCCACTCTGTCCCTGGTGAAGCCTCTCACCCTCCGCATCTCTGGCCTGTACCCCAGCTCTATATGTATGAATAAATAAATAAATCCTTAAAAAAGAAAAAAAGAAATGTACCCTAAACTTCAGTTGCTGAGTTACATGTATAAAATACTTTTAAATCTTCAGATCAATTTCTGATCTTTATAACATTATATACAGAATTCCTAATAGATGGGTAGTCTAGCTCTCCTTTAATACCTCAAGTATCTTCCTAATAAGACCACTGATTTTATTGTTAGAAAATGTCAGTTGCTAGAAAATTCGTTTTTATACAGACAAATCTGATTTCATACTTGACTCTACCTTTTGACAACTACACAGAGGGAAAATGATTTTTTTAAACATATGGAAGTCCTTCCAACATTAAAAATAGTTGCTAGGCCTAATCTGAATCTTTGCTCTAGCTAAATACATACAAATTCTTTCTGTTATTTATGAGGTATCTTTATTTCTCTCTACTCTTGATTCTTCCTCCCAGAATTTTCTATGGTTTATCAAAATGATTCATTAAATATAACTGAAAATTGAAGTGTAACTTCTACACAGATGGACACCTGTCTTTACCAGTGAGACAGAGATTATGTTAGCACTTTTAATAATAATTTTACTTTACTGGTTCATATTAAGTTTGTGATGAAATAAAATTCCCATTACCTTTTTATTTTAAATGTTAGTTTTTTTTTTAAAAGAGATTTATTTATTTTTGCATATAGAATTAGGGTGTAGGCCACGGGTGCAGGGGTGGTGAGAAGATTCACCAGAGACAGAATAGGGAGCAGAACAGACAGATTCACCAAGTACACTGCTGAGGGGAGCAGTGGGCGGGTCAGGAGAGGTCTGCCGTGAGACATGTGGATCACCTCCCCAGCGGGGATCGAACTCTCACTAAAGCAGCTGCTGCTAGCTTGCAGTGCTGCATTTTAACCCGATGGTCACCAGGGAGGGCCTTGGATCTTTATATTTCTATTTAATTTCATTTTGTTTGCTTCACCCATGATTTCATTTTATTAAATTAATTTGGAGGCACCTGTCTACATTAGCCATCTCTCCTGTGTTTAATTTTACATATTTGATAAGTAAGTTTTCTATGGCTATTAGATCTTTAATAATAATGTTTAAAGGGCAAGTTGACATTCCAATTCACCGAAGCAATCAGTTAATTAACAATTTTTTAAACAATTATTTACACACTTTCACAAACTTTTTCTTAATATGAGATATTGCTCAAAAGAAAATCCACTTACCTAGTATTTTATCAACTGCATACATATAATTTGGTATAAATCCACTTGACTCCTAGCAATTAAGTCATCTTTTCTAAAATTCTCATAAACTTCTTTATCAGCGATGAACTTTTTGTATTGATTTCAATGTAAAGTTGTCTGTAATGATGTAGCCCATCCTCCGCCCTTTTGAAAAAATCAGGGAATTTACTTCTTTTTAATTTCCTGGCTTCTCTTTCACTTTCTTTAAGATTTTCAAAGATAACTGACCTCTGCCTTTTATTTAGTACTCTGAAACGTTATTAATCTCAGTTTGGAGCCTGAATTCGTTTGGAAAGTTAGGTCCTGTTTAACTATCATCATCTATTCTGAGCTCAATTTTGTCTTTATCTTTGTTTCTTTTGTTGTTTGAAGATTATTCCTGTTAAGTTTATGTGAAACAAAGAAACAAAATAGGTATTAAACAGCTGTAATTTATCTAATACTATTCTTAAGCATCAGAAAAAAATTGCTAAGCAATTTGCCTAAGTGCTTATGTTACTCAGGTGCTTTCTTGTAAAAAGGTATTTAAGTTGTCTTTCATTTTGGACATTTGAAACATATATTATCTATGTATCTAAACTCTCTGCCTCTTCTCTCCCCCTTTCTCTCTCTCTCTCTTTTTTACATTATTAAGTGCATCTTCATTTATCTCTGAATTGCGTTCTTCTCTAATTTACTCAGAAACTAATTCAAATATTTGCAAATTTCATTTTTTTCTATCCTTTCTATTACTAATTTTCACTTGAAATTTTATTTTTCAAATCTGAAATTTACTCATTGGTTCTCTTTTCATATAAAACTCTTCCTAGTCCTACAAAAAATTGTTGGAGTTCCAAGCGGTGTTATTTATTTCCTCTGTAGCTGATGGTAGATCACTGAAGTCAGTCAGGAGCTGTGTAGCTACACCATAGTCATACTTAACACCCATAAACCTCCACCAGAGTCCATTGGATCCCCTCCCCACCCTGATCCCCAACTTCCACCCACGTATTCTACAGATTCTAGGTTTTGTTTTAGTTTTGTTTTGTCTTCTATTGTTTTATTTCACTCTATTTGTCAGAAGAGAGAAATTATTCTGTATTTGTCTTAATTCTTCTCTATTTCAATTAACATAATTCCCTCCAGGTCCATCTATCTTGTTGCAAATTGCAAGATTTCATCTTCTTTTTAAATAGCTGAGTATTGTTGTATTATGAATATATACTATATTTTCTTTATCCATTTCTCTGTCCTTGGTTATTTTCATTGGTTTGTTATTGTAAATAATGTTGCAAATGAACACAAGAGTGTACATACCCCTTCAAATTGTGTTTTTCTTCACCTAGGTACCTAGGGATGGAAATGATGGAGAATATGGTATATCTATTTTTAATATTCTGTGTAATATCCATATTGTTTTCCATCAGGAAATGGATCAGCCTACATTTCCACCAACTGTGTGAGGGCTCAAGTTTTCCCATACTCTCACCAACATTTGTTGTTCTGGTCTTTTTGATATGGGCTGTTCTCACAGATGTGAGAGGCATCTCATTGTGTTTTGATTTGCACTTTCCTGCTAACAAGTGATGCTGATAATTTTTTGACATACCTTTTGACTAGTTGTATATCTTCTTTGGAGATGTGTCTATTTAAATCTACTGTGCATTTCTTGATTGGGTTATTAGCTTTCTTTTTATTGAGTTACATGGATTCTTTGTAGATCTTGAAACTCCTTGTCCGATGTATGGTATGCAAATATTTCTTTCCAATTTGGTTAAAACTTAAAAAACTTTAATCCACTTCCTTGTATAGCTGCAATATTTTGTCAACGCCCTAGAAAAAGATAAGCTATGTATGTGCTTGAAACACCTAATTTTGGTGTCTGCTAAAAGTTCTATTGGCTTCTCTGCTCCCCAGTACATCCTCCATCTCTAGCCTGAATCCATTTGGAAGACTAGGTCCTGTTGCACTATTTTTCTCCATGTGAATGTGCAGAATTGAAAAATGCCCTAACTTGGGTAAAAGTGGTGACAGGTGAACTTGCCACACTCAGTTCCTTTCTTCTCCAGAGTCTTGCTCTCTTTAGTTCTTGTTGCCCCAATAGATAAGATGTGCTCTGCATTTTATCCATTTTTTCTAATAGTTGTAAGCAGAAGTATAATTCTGTTACTTTCCTACCCAGAAACGAAACTCTTATTTTACTTATTTAAGATGTTTAAGATTGTACGTTAATATTTTCATTAAAGATCTGCTGTAAGAACCCATCCTAGTGCATATTTTATCTTAGATTATGATGCTACTCTGATATCCATTTAGAGTATAAGTAGTGTGTATTTTACATCACACCTTAATAGTCTTTTTATCTTGATACTATAAACAAGATCACTTTACCCTAAGATCCTTACCACTGTCACATAAATTCTTTACTAATAAGAATTAAGGTCCATTTAATAATCAATTTTATTGGTTCAGCTATTTGGAGATTTTACTTGTTGGTAAGACAAATGAAATATATTAAATTAATAATTAATTCTCTTCATGTCATTTGGACCATGAGCTTTTAAACAAACATTATTATTAAAATGTGGTTACCAGTTTGGTTGTTAAGGAAGAAGGCCAACTGGCATTTTCTGTTGATTATTTTGTTCTAATTGGGCTGCTATTGCTCAGATTTTCAAGCTTGAAATTGAAAATTTTTCAGTTCATCTAAAAATTATCAAGATCACAGAAACTGATTTAGGCCAGAAATCTGGCAGATATCTTGATGAAAGTGCCAATTTACTAATTTATGGTATCAGTATCCAAGAATGATATCTGGGATACTGGCTTCTTTTTACCATTTGTTGTAGGAGAATCTAAAGGAAAATAGATAATTAATTATTCAATCTATTAGACCAGATTATTGCAAATTTATTCTCACCCTTACACAGAAGTAAAATGAGTAGTGAGTTTACTAAATAGACCACATGCAAATTATTGATCTTTCTAAGTATTCAGATACTTAAGTTTGCCAAATATAGTCACTCTTCTTACGTCTTGCTACTTAGACATACTATAGTTTTTCCCGTACTAGATCTCCTATAGACCAACATACTCTTCTGATTGCAGCTGTTAGTGGCATTCTGCAATTTCCAAGTTTACATTAAGTTATATACTATAATTTTTATGAGCAGTTTATTAATAATATGTGAAAAATACCCTAACTTTATTTATAGCAAATAAAAGAAAATATAATTTGTGTTGGGTCGTGTTGTTGTTATCTAATATCTTTCATGACATATAGCATTTTGGAAACCTGTGTATTTGCTATAATATAATAAAATGATAGCATATATCATTCCCAAATATATATTATATTTTCAATATTAGCGATATTACAATAATACAGTTAAATTGCCCTTTTTGTACAAATATAAGTGTGCAATATTAGTATCATGAACAGTTTATTAATAATATGTGAAATCAGATGACCTATTATTTTAAATATTTATGGCAGCCTGACAACTATAATCTTAATGGTCCCTTCATTTGTAGATCGCTGTCATTGACACTTTTGGAATCCAAGTACATTGGCTCTTTAAAGTACATGAATTTGGACAATCAATATTGTCTTACTAATCACATATTCCTCTCTATATATTTGATGTTAGCACATTAAAGCACATGGTCTTACTCTTTACCACTCTTATGTTTCTGCCTCCAATTGAATTTTCCCCTTGTTTAAAAACCTTCTTTGGAGGATTTCACATCAGTCAACCAGAAAGAATGCTTCTGATGTACAATAGAGGTAGAAATACAGAGACATATATTAATTTGCATCTTAATTATCACAAAAATAACTTGAGAAACCATTCACAAGAAAAAAAAAGTAAGATAATTATAAAAGATGGCAATGGTAATAGTTCAGAAAAAAAAAAAAAAACTAGAACAATTCATCTCCCTCAGATTCCCTGATAGTGAGATCCTGACATTTTCTAAAGAATGTATTAAAAGAAAAGATGAAATATACTTCAAAACTTAGGCATTAACTTAATCTTGAATTCAACATTTCTGTAGCCTTCTGCTCTTAGTCACCCCTCAAGACCTAGGACTATGGGACGCCAATACCAATGGAATCTTGATGAACTCAGGATCTGATGTCCAAGAAAGAATATGGGTTCTGAAAGCTCAGCTGTGCCCTTAGACGAGCAATTCAGACTTCTGTAGTGATCAGAACCATGTTATTCTTTGGTTGTGATAAGCTTTTGACTCCTAAAATAAGAATGAAAAAAATGTTGTATTTCTGGGAAATAAATGATGTTATATGGGTTATGAATTTAACAGGCTAAAAAGAATGAAATATCAAATGTGACAAATGAAGTGCACATTGTGGAGAACACAATGGAAAGGCAGAAGGCAGAAAGGGAAGAACTCAGTCACTTTTGGATAGCATGGAAACTTCAAGACACTGAAAGCAAGCCTGTGAAACAGCAATGGGGAGCACTCAAAGAGCAACTTAGAAAGGTAAGGGGTAAGCAATGGGTGTTTTTCTGTCTTAAAAAGGAATGGAATTCTGATACATGCTAGAATATGTAGGAAATTAGAGCTGTTGTACTTAGTGATGTCAGAAACAAAAAGATAAATATGGTATCATATTACTTAATTGGGGGAGGTACTGAAAGCAGTTAAATTCATAGAGAAAAAAAGCAGACTAGGGGCGAAGAGAAAAGGCAGGAGGAATGAGTGTTGAATGGGATGAGATTTCTGTTGCGGAGGATGAGAAAGTTCTGGAGATAGATGATGGTAAATGGCTGCTCACCAGTGTGGAAATTTTTATTTCTACTGAACCATACACTTAAAAATAGTAAAAATGATACATTTCATTATGTATATTTTCCACAATAAAATCAAAACAGGTTTAGGGAACTCAAGGCCTGTGCTCTTTTCACTGCTGGCTTGGCACTCAATGGCCCTAATGTTTCAGAGGAACTGAAGTCGGATGACACTTCATGTCATCACAGGGATGAGCTGGTGTTAAACATACCTGTAACCACTCAATGTTTATTTCAGACTACTCACAACTTAAAGCTGCTTCAAGAAGCACTTAGGCCTGTATCTGCACTTGACCTTGGAGGAAGTCTCCAGGCCATTTTAGGTCTAAGGGGAAAATGGAATGAAATGAAGTCTCAGTTCCAGGTAAAGAAACAGATGGATGTACTTGGGTGAAAGGAAAGAAAAAAATTTTTTAACTGTTTTTTTAAAGTAATAATGAAAACTGTATTTTCATTTTTATTTTATTTTACTTTTTGATTGAAGTCCTCCATTTGCATTTGTTTTTTTTTTTTTTTTTTTACTTTTCATTTGAACCTTCCTTAATAAACTTTAATAGTCTGGTAAATTACTACTTTTTAAAACAGCTTGTCTAAAACCACTTTAAAAATACATTTTTCTTTCTGATTTTTCTTTACTATTCTGTATTTCATGATACACAAACATTTAGGTTCCAAAAATGTCCTAAAAGTATCCTTATCTTAGATTATTTTAATTTATATGAGATTATTTCCTTATCATTACATTTATTATAATATAAATGCTGCTTATTTTTCCAGAGAATATATATGTATCTTAAGTTGAGACATTTCAAAACAAGGATGAACAACCTCTGTCTCCTGCCCTCTGCCCCCAAAATTGCCTCTGTGATGTCACTGTTTCCACCTTCTGGCACCAGGTTCCTACCACCCTCCCAGAATACTGTGCTGTATTCTATTTCTCCTCTCAGAGAGTCCTGTGGACATGACAGATAAAATCATGAGTCATGTTCTCAGGCCCAGACACTCAAGGCCTTCTATACCCCCATCTCCATTGACTCAACAGTAAGCAATGTTGCCAGTCATATTATCCTCCTGCTTAAATTCTTGTTCTTAGCTGCAAAATTAGGATAGCATTCTGTCTGTCATGACTTTGTATACTGACTTTAAGGATTCTCAGAATTAGAAGATTTCAGATCCCTTTAGGGAATATTTACTTTAGGTTCCTTTAAGTTATATGATATAATATTTAACTGCCCTTCACCAACCCCCAGAATAACAATAAAAGTACATATCATTATAACCTAAAGTGAACTCTTTCCTCCAAACTTAGAAAATTCTATTCACCTACAAGTTTTTTTTTAATTACCTGTGCTATATGCTTATTTGAGTTTCATGAGTGCCCTAAACATGCATAAGTGTGTGTGTCTGTGTGTGTGTGTGTGTGTGTGTGTGTAAACTGCTTTCAAATCAGGGAACTTTGCCAACCTTCTTGAGCTCTGTCACAGTCATGTGTGCGCATTTGGAACCCACATGTTATTTTCCAACTTGAACACCCTAGGTCACCCTAGTGACCCTAGGTCACTTTTCTTAAATTATTTCTTAGCCTAAATAATTTCTATCACATTTATCTTTGATATTAGATCCATGAAATTATAGTGGTTTCGTCTTTGAATTGTCTACCCTTTGCAAATTCTTCCCCAGGATCTGAATGCCTACAAGCCTTATCAGGAATACCTGGACCTTGCAAAATCAAAGGGAAGGTGGTTTGTCCCTTCCTCCATGTGATGGCTGTTTACAAATTCTAGGGTTGCTCTTTTCAAAGTAGTACAGCTATAGTGCCAGAGGTTTCAGTGCTAATGGTCCATTCTGATTACTTTTTTATTGTAAAGCACTAATAATTGCCCCAATATATTTTTTAACAAAGGACACAAGAACATTGATTCAAAAGGACACCTGCATCCCCATGTTTATTGCTGTCCTTAAGGAAAATAGGGAAAATGTGGAATCTTCTCCAGGTATTCTTATACCACCTGATTCTTATCTTTACTACATATCACAGATGATACTGTCTTCATAAAATAATTCTATACTACTTAACAGATTGCTAGAATATTTGGTGTGCCTTAGAAGTACATAACTCTACATTTCACCACCCATGAAAAACTCTTTACATTGTTAATATATACTTTTAAAATTTCTGAGCATAGGGGATACAGTACTAGATCTTTAGCATCAAGTATAAAGCCTGGATTTGAGAGTATGTGCATTGGGAGTGGCTTATAATAATATTAAAACATGAGAGAACGATTTGTTTAGATCTTCATTCATTTGTATTAATTCATTCATTCAATTGTTAACATTTTTAAAAATTCTAAAAACTGATTTCTTTTGTTGCTTTTAACTTTTTAGCAATTGAGTAATGAAGTTCAGTACATTATAAAAGAATCAGAAAAATTAAATGGTAAAGGCATTCCTGTGAAAGAGAAATCTCAACAATTGAAGGACCTTATATACCTCCACCAAAAACAGAAAGAGAGAATCCAAGATTACAACACTATCTTGTACAAAGTAATTCATTTCCACCAAGTCAAGGAAGAGGTAAGGATTGTCATGGATTTTTGGAGAACCCTTCGTTATAAATTATAAGATTAAAAATAAATTGCCATGAAATAAATAATGACTATCCTGCTCATTATGACGCATGCTTTCTGTAAACTGGAAATTTTTATTCTCCTTTATATTCTAGCCAAACTAAACTTTTCCTGTCTCTCAGAGGTGTTACGCAGAGGCTGTCATTATCTCAGTTCCTTTTCTTGTTCTTCACCCTCTAAATTCTCCTCCCCTCCCGGCATTGCTATCTACTTGGAGTGATTTCTCTAAGTGCCTTGACCATGCCTTGTTTATTGCAAACAACTGTCATTTTTTGCATCTTGATTCCTAATTACTTTTAAACATAGATTATTTTTCACTAACTCTTTGAAGGAAGAAAGCATATTCAAAGTTTTCTTTTTTTTCTTTTTTACTTTTGTATCTCAAGTACATTACATTAGAGTGTTCAGCAATATTTATTTTTTGCCTTTCTATTGAAACCTCTCACTTGGTAGTTACGTTAATGGCAAATGCAGAGGTATTGGTATCCTTAAAAATAAGCTTTCAGGGCCCTCCCTGGTGGCACAGCGGCTTAAAGCGCTGCACCATGAAGCAGCTGCTTCACAAGTTTGATCCCCGGCCAGGAAGGTGGCCCACATATGGTGTGGCAGACCTCTCCTGACCCGCTCACTGCTCCCCTCAGCAGTATACTTTGTCGATCTGCCTGTTCTGCTCTGCCTCTGGTGAATCATCTCACTGCCCCTGTACCTCTGGCCTGTACCTCAGTTCTGTATGCATAAATAAATAAAATCTTTAAAAACAATTTTCAAAAAAAAAAATAAGTTCTGAAGTTGTTCAGATCACAAGCTTAGATCTTGCCAAAATTTTGGGGTGTGGTCAAACAGAGTATTTTATTCTTTGATGGAACTGACACTGTTAGCTCCTCAATTTTAATGCACTGACTTACAGCACGGTATAATAGTAATAATTATTGATGGCATTTTAACCTGCTGGTAAAATTTATTGTAAGAAACAGACTTTTAAAAAATTACCTCTCTCAAAAATAATAATGAAATCTAGGTTAACTATTAATGCCCTACATTCCAGCTGGGATGTCTCATCAAATCAAGAGAACTGGAGTTTCTAGAACAGCCAAAAGAACTGGAGAATGCTCACGAGGTCCAGACTCAACTCAGCCACTCTCAGGAGAAGCAGGCACACCTGAACCACCTGCAGACACTGGCCCTTTCCCTGGGAAGGGACATCATCTCACTGGCACAGCAATCTGTAAGCAAATGGGAGCATATTTATCACCCCTCATCCTGGCTGAGAACTGGGTTCTAATGTGAAAGAATTAAGATTGCCCAGTATATGTTAAATTAAAATGCATATTACTTTTTTCAGTTTGTCTTTATTTGATTATTAATTGATAGCTGACTATAAAGACTGAAGTACCAAAGAGGGAGGAAGCATAATGGGCAATGGTAGACTACAGGTGAGTAATATCTGATGGGATACTGCAGTAGTACCTCACTGAAAATTAAACAAAGTTGTGAGCCCTCCCTGGTGGCACAATGGGGTAGGACGCAGCACTGCAAGCCAGCCACAGCCGCTTCAGTGCCAGTTAGACCCCTGGCCCTGGAAGTGACTCACATGGCACAACAGACCTCCCTTGACCTGCCCGCTGCTCCCCTCA